GCCAGGATCCGACCTTGTGCTTCATGCCAGAGGCATGATATTGGGCAGAATCACGACCGTTTCCCCATCAACCACCAGAAAAGGGCTACTCGAAGACGAATGGCTTAGGACGCTTGGATGGCAGGGAACTTTGGAACAGGATATAGACGAACAGCTTTGGAGGACTCTCGTTGCGAACCGTGATCCAGAGTCAAAAGTTGCCCCTACGTGGTACCGACGCGCATGTGCGTTGGCACTTACGAAACTTGATGAGTTTGGTAATCTAGATACCACAGCCTTGATAGCCGATCCATCGCAACCAGGTACACTGGTGAACTACCTCAGACGCGTAAAAGAGGCGACGGAAAACCGGCAATCTTTCCAGTGTGAGAATAGCGACAGCGCTCAGCTAGACACCATCATAGGTTTTGGGCCGGAACACTTACGGCTTTGGGGACGAAGAGAGATGGTTTGTATTTTGTACGGATCGTCGGTGCCGGTCATACTCCGTGAGCACAAAGACCAGGACGGTACCACTGTCGCGAGACTCATCGGGGCTTGTTATGTTCATGGGCATATGGAAGGAGAACTCTTTGCTGACATGAACGAAGAGGAGATCCAGAAGAGATCGACAACGTTCAGCATTCATTGAAGTTTGCTGGACTCTTTCACAATACAAGCTAATGTACACACGAGATCAATAGATCTTCCCTCACACCACACAAAGACGACAAACAAACACCTGGTCTATGCTCTACCCGCCTCCTTCGTCACGTCTCCTACTTCCATTCCTCCGGCCACTTATCCTTATCATTACTATAATCCGGCAATTCGACGCTCTTCTTATCAATCATTCTTTTCTGTGGGAACAATTGCTCTTCGCAAAAGTTCTTCAGACCCTCCGTGTTCTTTATAGCGTACTTTTTGAGCTGGTCAAACGTTCCCAAGCTTCTCCAAAGCCTAATCTCTTTCACACTCGCATCAGTCAAGGGGGTTTCGGCAGCCCAGGTCTGAAAGGTTTTCTTGTATATGCGCTCGAGACAGCAGCGTGCGATGTGCGCCTTCATCGATAGCAACGTCTCTCCAATATCGTCAAGCAGTGGTTCTCTCATTTCAGATGGAAGTTCCTTGACCCAAATGGCGAGATCAGACTCTTGCATAACGCGAAAATCTGGGGCTTCGCCTTTGCGCCTTTTCTTCGCCCGTGCATCTGCTTCTGCCTCGGCACGCTTCCGTTTGGTCCTCGTAGCCGTATCCTCCGGTTCGTCTTCAACATCAGACTCAGACTCAAACTCTTCGTCAGAGTCAGAGAGTCCATTCAGAGCTCCAGGGTCGACATTCTCAGGCTGGGCAACCACCGGCTCAAAGCTCGAATTCACCGAGTTTCGCGCGACTGCTTCGTACAGGTAACTCTTAGGATAAAAACCGGCACTTCCCTTGAATGAAATATCACCAAGCTCCTTGACGCTCTCGTTCAGCTTCGCAATCACCTCGTCGACCTCTACTTCTTTACACCCCTTAAATATCGGATGGTTTAGCCAAACCTCCATATCCGCTTGAGACAAATCTTCGAAGCTACTGAAAAGCTTTTGGAGAACAGATTTCTGGCCCAAAGTGTCCATTGGGCGTGTATTCTCGGCGATTTTGGACGGAAGCAGATCGACGAACTCTTCAACTTGATTACTTGCCATATGCGTGAAGTTCGCAATTTCTTGGGCAAGCATGTTGTTGATCACGAGAATGTTCGGGAGCTCTGGCTGTGGAGCTGGCTGGCTTGAAGCCTTTGGATGGGTTGAAGTTTTCGACGGTTTCGACGGTTTCGATGGCTTTGAAGGCTTTGAAGGCTTTGCAGGTTCTTTAGATCCCGGAGGCCCTTTGGGTCCTAGTGGACCTTTTTGTCCCGAGGGTGTTTTTTTGGCGGTCGATACAGGCTTGCTAGAGGTCTTCTCATACTTCTTCTTCATTCGTTCCAATACTTGTTTTGGAGTGGGTCGGATGATCAGTCCGCCATCTTTCGCGTAGACGTCACGTTTGGGATTTTTATCCTCAGAACCTAGCGTAAAGACATTGATATCGCGGATCCAGATTTTAGCACGGTCTTTCTCATTTTTGAACGTCCCACCGTGTTTCACGAAGAGAATGGCTCTGTACGTGTAGTCGTTCGATAGTTCACCGATTCGTGGATCTTCTCGAACTTCTTTTGTCGCATATTTCATGAGCGTAGCGTGGTCGACCGTGGCCCACTTGATTGTTTTCGGATCTGGTTGCGCAACATTAGGTGCATCATTAGGGTCGGAGGGAGGCTGGCCAGCGTTCGCATCATCGCCTTCATCCACTCCATCGCTTGCTCTCTTCCTCTTCTGTCCATGCGCCTCTCGATGCTCACGTGGCGGCCAATGCAGTGGACTGTCTGCCAGATACGGCAGCTTCTCCATCGCATCCTCCTGATAGTAGTACCACGTCAACCACCATCTCGCGACCCCCAGATCTTGCTTCCCAGCTTCTAACATATGAGGATCGCTTGCGCGCCATTCATCGACATCCTTGTCCGTCATGTCTGCGAACTCGCCAATGAACATGCGATACAGAAGTCCACGGGCGATATTGTAGCGAGTGACACCCGCGGCATCTTGTATGACCTTCTGCGCGGTAGGATGCAAATTATTGGCCCAGATATCCACGCCTGCGTCGGATAAAGAAGCGAACAATGGTAGAGCCAGGTCCAAGTAAGTCTGGTCTAGACGTTCTGCGATAGTCTCAGAGGTCCAGGTTTGAGAGCGTTCTGTAAACGTGAAAGCATGCGCATCATTAACGTAATCTCCGAGAACCGTCGGGTTTTCGCTTTTGAAACTGCCTTTGAATACGCTGTGGAGCACCGCTCTTGATGTTTGAAGGGCAAGGCTTCTCGAATCGTCGACCTTGAGGAGGTCGTCTTTATATGTTGTGTACCACGGTTCCGAACTGTCCATCTTTAGTTGGTCGAATGCGGGTAGGTTGTCCTTGCCGAAGCCTTGAGGAAACTTGTATTCCGGATTCTTGGTAAGAACTCCATGTTTCCTTCGTTGGAAGTTGCGCGCAATGTCGTCCTGGTTGTCTTTGAACGCTTTTACAACTTCATCCAGACGGTCTCTGGAGTATGGCTCGCCTTCTTGTAAGTACACCTGGTACTGGGCACGCGTAACTCCGTCGTGCTCGTCTGGCCAGCCGTCGTCGTCGCCGTCACTATTGTCATCGTCACTACCTGGCCCATTTCTTGAGCTTCTGTTGCCACCTGGCCCAGGTGGAGCCCTCCGATTCGGATTCAAGGATGCGACCGCATCGCATAGTTGACCAGTACTAGGAAGGCCTAGGATCTGCACAACGCGCGCACTCATTTTGTACGGCAAATCGTTCTCACTCAAATTCTTGTCAGCCTCTTTTCTGATAATCTCCTGCATATCCCTGCGTGTTTGGAGCGAGTTAAATGCCATTTTTTGCGGGTGTTGCCTCCTATGTCGCGAACTGAACGCGCTGTAAAGTCCGCCCGCGTCAGTGAGAAATTTCGGGTTATCCAAGATGTACTTGAGCATGGCGTAGACCCATGGCCCACATGCTGAGCCTTCGTCACCTCGGTAGCTGTTGTTCTTAGTATCGTGAGGGACGTGTTTCAGTGTGGCTGCCGTAAATGCTCCTCGCTCTAGATCCATAACTTTGTCGTATCCGCAGAGAATCTTCCCGGCGACCCATGCAGGATGTGGTTTATGCATGTTGTGTATGTACCAATGCTTGTTAGCTTTCTGTCTCACGTCGACGTGGCCGTCTAGCCATCTGGCATCATTTCTCTCCTTGTCGATTACCATGAAACCCCAATGAGTGCCACCGGAAGGAGTCATCTCAGGCTCACTTTCTTGTTGCACTTCCGTGTTGCCATTTGGGTCTCCTTCTTTGTTGGCAACCAGCACCTCAGCTTCTTTGGAAACCTCTTGCCTCCTAGCAACCTGCTCTTCCTCTCCTGTCTCCCCTTGTTCTTTAGCTTTCGCGGCTTTAGCTCTCCATCTTATGATCCTTTTCGCTGTGCGCTCATCAGCCATACCATCTGTCACAGGTACAACAATCCATCGATATTCCTCTTGCTGCATAGCTTCGTACATTGGCTTCGATAGAACATCCTGTTTGAATCGGTCTTTGTCGTCAATGCATAAGCCAACACGAGCAAGTAGACTGCCAGCACTTGTTGGTACAAAGAGAATATCGGTTCGTTTCTTTTGTACAAGAGTTAATAGGGCCATAGCCAACTCTAACTGGTGACCTTCCAGCCAACTATGATGAGGGTCCGTTCTCGCGGTTGCAACGATGTTGACAAAATTCTCCATTGTGACTGCAAGAGAATTCCCTAGATGAGGGTAGTCGATATATATTCGTTTTGTCCATGTTTTGATCACATCTTCGTTGGTTTCTGGCACGGGTGCGACTGGTGCAGCTGGAGCAGCTGGAGCTGGGGCACCTTCGCCATTATCGTTACTGGCCAGCGGGCCCTGTTCGCCGTCTGTGGACATGGCAGTCGCACTATGATCATTCGCTGTGGTATAAAGGTAGATAGATTGCTCAGGCTTTGGACGTTCACAAACACGGGTTGCGCTTGAAGAGGATATGTAGCATCTTCCCCGAGTTCTTCGAACAAAGCCGAAGACACTTGCAAAAAGGATGCGGTGCAATGGACAAAGACACCAAGGTAGATAGCAACGCCCTTTGTCGAGTATCGGACGACACCATCATTGTCCGAGTCTCTTTCACGTCCGTTTTGGGATGGCAAGTGTGGTCAGCTTATCTAGTGGTTAGCGAAGACATGATGTAAGGCAAAATTGGAAGCGGCAGTGAACGTCGTAAATCGCCAATAACGTATTTGGTGAACTATGTGATCTATCTCAAGGAGCGTCAGCTATAAGACCATATTGACAGCGGGTGTACTGCGATACCCGAGAAATGGGCTCAATACCGATCCATGCTGCCGGTAAATCTGATAGTAGCTTTGTCACACCCGTCTACCTCCATTGTCTTGCCGGCTCTGGCGGCACAACATCTCCCTCCCTGAGCAGATTCGCCGGATCCGTGAACGGGTTTGCATGCGCTTCCAGGTCCTCAGGCGATCCTTGCGACGTCGCGATCTTGGGCTGCTGACTGCTGGGGTTGGGAGTACCGTCTATGAACGTGAGACCGAAGTTGTTCAACGGAACGGGCGTAGCATTCGCACCGAGACTCGAAGAAGGGAAGTCGCGAAGGTTTTGTTGGGCGGGGGTAAGAGAAGAAGCGCCGCTGAGATCGTCTAGTCGCATCGACTGTTGCGCATCGGTCTTGCGGTTGATGTATGCGGCAGCGAGCGCGAAGCCGAAGTAGATAGCCATGCTGTTACTGATTAGCTTACTTCCCCAACATCACCAGCCATGTGTTAACGTGAAACTTACCAAACCGCTCCCAACATGCCCAAAACCTCACAACCCCGTTCAATTCCCTTTGCCCATCTACTCCACCTATCCAACGTATACATCGTCTTATCGTATTGCCAACACGAATCCTTAGTGTGAGTCACACTGTGGCTCAAACTATAATCGACCTTGCTACTGGGGAAAGTGTTCATCCAAACCGTGCCCAAAGCGACCAGCACGAAGTAGACGGCGAGACAGGTAGACCAGAGCATGCCAGCTCGGTTGGAGATGCGTGCGGAGCGGTAGTGGCTCCGAAGGAGGAGGAGGAGATCGACGACTAGGAGGAGCGGGTTGAAGATCAGGATTGCTATGATCGTGCTGCGAGGGTGTTGGTTAGCATATCTTCGTAGATGGGGAAGTACGATAGAGAGACAAAACTTACAAGACCCCTCCCCTCTCTTTCCCACTCAAATACTCGGGCCCCATCAGCCCCGGGTCCGTACTATTAATCCCAACATCCATCCCATGCCAGAACCTCTCGCGATCCACATTCGCATACAGTACCGGCAACGTCTTCACGACCTCAGTCAACACAATCCCATACGTATCCCCGTATATCCCATACTTGGTGAAGTCAAAGTCGCTACCGGCATCCACATTCAAGCATTCGACTTCGCTTTGGGGGGAGGCGAGTAGACGGTGGGCCATGGCGACGCACAAGCCGAGTTGCGCGACGGCGAAGAGGATGGAGAGGAAGAGGAGGATGTCGGTTGCGAGGCCGGTGCGGGAGGGCCAGCGGGTGGAGCGGGAGTGGGTGAAGAGGGTGATGCAGGAGCGGGCTTCCTTGAGGGGGGTAGTGCGCGGGGGCGCCATGATGGCGTTGCTAGTGGTGAGAGGTTTGTAGTCTGGTGTCGTTTTTGTTAGTGCTGGGTGACTGAAGTATTTCTCTGAAAATCGAGAGGAGATGGAAGGTGAACAGGACAGGATTATCCATCCCTCAATCTCTCAGGGTCTGTGGTGTCGTCGTCTGGTAGCGGTACAGTGAGTACCATGGGCGCGACGCCGGAAGCGAGGGGGAGCCATGATAGCATCTTCAAATGTCCTTGGGCAAAATAGGCTGATGGCGTCTTCAGGAAGGAGCGACGACGGTTGCGCTACCGATAAACCACGTGATGCGAACGAGGAAAGAGCGACCGGTCGGAAAGGTATCAACTTGAATTGGCAACTACATAGAAACATTGATCGGGCTCGGGGCTTCGCAGGGGGTGTACATGCTTGCGTAAAGCAAAAGGACAAAAAGGGCTCATGACAGGGTAACAAGGAGATTAAGATCGTAATCAAAAGAGGTATTGCAAGTTGTTTACATGCGGCTGCGATAGGGCCTAGGGACAGCCGGCTGGAAGAGCCTATCCGGCAGCCTGTTTCCATACTGATCGAAGCGGTAGTCCTCCTTTTGTTCAATCCACATCTGCCCAGCAAGTTAGCCTTGTGCTAACAGCTAGAGCTTGCTACCGTAGGGGCGGGGCGGGTAGCCAGCAGTGTTGTAACCACTCACCTCGCGGTCGGCGTAGTTCCTGTCCAACGGCACTGGTTGTGGATTTAGTATTTCTTCGTCGCCAAAGCCCGCGTCTCCTTGGAACCTACGCGAATAGTGCGCTGCACCAATGGGTTGCGGGGCGCCGTATTCGGCGTACGCAGGGGCTCGAGGGCCGTACTGACCTGGGCGTTGGGCGCGCGCGTTGCTCTGCATCCAGGAGTCGCGCTCGGGGAGACGGTCCTCGTACGATTCAGGGCGGCGGCCGAGGGGCTCGGGGAAGCGCGGGTTGTAGGTGCCTTGAGTCTCGATGGGGTACTGAGAGCGGTAGTGGTCTTCCTGCTGGTAGCGCTCGTCGTAGTGGGTCTCGTAGCGGCCGTCACGACCTTGTTGCTCGAAGTGGACGTCGTGACGGGGAGCAGGGCCGCGGTCGTCGAAGTGCTGGGGTCCGCGCTGGTGTTCGTCGATGTACACGTCGCGACGCTCTTCGTAGTGAGCTGGGGGCTGACGGTCGCGCTCAACCCAGACATCGCGGTGCTCCTCTACGTGTCGCGGCGGCGCGCCATCACGCTCGACCCAGACATCCCTCTCGATGTGCGTCGTGTGGGTGGGCTGGGCCTGAGGCTGGGGCTGGGGAGGTTCCTGATGGATGTCGATGTCGATGTGCGTCTCCTTGGTGGTGGCCTTGGGCTTCTTGGGCTCCTCGACTGGCTCCAGAGCAGTCAGGTAGCCGATGACCTCGCTGAGACTGGAATGCGCGATGGCGAGCTCCTTCTCCCGGTTCTCGAGCTTCTCCTTCTCGCTGAGCAGCCAGTAGACGCGGTGCCGCATGCCGATGCGGCGGCCGTCCTCGACATCGCCGGCGACGCGTTCCGTGTGCGGCGTGATGTTCTCAAGGGCGCCGCGCACGTCGCGCATGCATCCGTAGACCCACTTTGACTTTTCCGGGTTGGCCTCGAGGATGTCGTGGATCTCGCGGATGGACAGCAGGCGTCGCACTTCGTCGAGGTCGGATCGGACGCGGCCAATGATGCGCACGTAGACGGCGTTGGAAGGGCCAACGTCGCGGACGCGCTTGGCCTTGGTGAGGAACTCGGCGAGCTTGTAGGCACCCCCAAGGGCACCGGCGGCAGCACCGAGCGTGAGGATCTCTCCTTTAACCATGACGGGCGGTGAGGTGGCAGCTGCTGGGAGCTACCGGCTTGGTGAGGGTGGTGTTCAATTGAGTGAAAGGGTGCCTGCGTCTCTGCCTGTACCTGGCGCGAGCATCCCGCGCAGGTTCAACCGGCGTGGAAAGTGGGGATAGGCGCTTTGGTGAGGTGTGAAGAGAGCAGAGTTGTTGTCGCTCAGCTACTCAGGGCAGCATTGACAGGGGCCGTAGCTGTTTAGTGTTATTCGGGGGCTGGGTGCTAGCCACATGGAGGCGCTCTAGCCTGCAGCTCGTCACTCCTCGCGACCAACCCGAGGTCTGAACTCCCCCAGAGCTCCACCCACGAACATGTGGCTTCCATCGCTTGCAACCGACGAGCTGATCGTGTTCATGGCGGAGATCCAGAGCGGTGAGGACACACGCTGGCCTCTCCCAAAAACTGCCATTTGTCTGCGGTAAACAACATCTCCACGTCTTGTTTACTCCGTCCTGATACGCGCCTGGATCATCCCAGCTCGCCATGTCAGCTCCACTCGACAACGCACCGACCTGCCTGAAACTTGACACCCAAAACCTTGCTTTATTTACCGTATTTCGCAATGAACGCGCGAACTTTGGGGTCGCTCAAACTCAATTCACTGCCCTCTGCATCCAGCAGCTCGCGGTCCTTGTTCTCCAGCTCCATCTCCATCGCCTTCAACTGCTCGTCCAGTTCCGGATTTGTCAAGCTAGCCTGGTGGAATGGTGCGTGCTTATATAGCGCACTCAAGATCGCCCTCAGGTCGGTATCTGCTTTGCTTGTTCGTTCGGCAATTACATCATGAGCCGACGTCGCCGTGGATTCGTAGTGGCTCTGCAGCTTCTTGCCTCGCTCAAGCTGGGCTTGTTGCAGAGTATCCTGCAGGCTTTCAATGTTGTCGTGACTGAATGATACGCCCGCATAACGAAGCGCGTCTTGCAGTGTGACCGGGAGGTCGAGCGACGATGTAGGCTTGAGCTTCACCATGGGTGTAAATGCCGACGTGTCAGACCTCATGCGCTTCAATACCGGCGTTCCAACCGGTGGGTGTGTCTCCGGTATACGCTTCGCTGCTGCTGCTTGGACGTGCGCGAGTGCTTGTTGAAACTCATCAGTGTCCTTTGTGCCTGTGGTGACTATGCTGAGACGTTTGCCCATATACTCGAGCGTTGAGAGCACCTGATATGTTAGCAACAGTCCGGTGACACTTGAGAGGTACTCACATAGTTTAGCCAAGCGGTTCGTGCCTGTGTTCTGTCCCTATCCTTGCGCTCCTTCATCTCAGTCATCGGCTTGCGTATCTCATGCTCGACAACCATTTCAGCAACAGATGCAATCTCGGAGTGAAGCTCTTCCAGCTCGGCCTGGAGGGCGGCCTTTCTCTCTTTGAGGCTGTCCTCTGCTTCCTCCGCAAGGCCGTTCTGGAAGTCACCAGATGCATTGGTAAGGAATACAGTGTCGACGCGAGCTTTGATCTCCGCTGCGCGGAAAGAGATAATGGCCTTGCACCACTGCTCCATCGACTTCTCGTCCTCGCTGACTTCAGGCTCGGTGACAATCTGCGATACCAGCTTAGGAAGTCGGCTCAGAATCTGATCGTCTGACGCAAAGCGCTCCGATAGGTAACCCTTCAGTGTTGACTTTTCCGAATCAATCTCTCGTTGGGCGTCGGTCATCTGCTCCGTGACCGATGCAACGACATCGTCAACCTACTTGAGTTAGCGAAGAAGCATCCATGGTGATTTGACACTTACAGAGACGTCTAGTCGAGTCTTTTCCTGGCCCTCCTTCCTTCTTCGCTCGTTCCTTGCATGCTCAACATCCAAGTTAGGCTTATCGAGAGCTTTAAGCTTCATCAACGCATCTTTCTGAGTCTCCAAAACTCTGCATTGCTCTTCGATCGCAGTAGTAGAGCTCTTCAGCGATTCAATTGCTGCAGCGATTTCGTGGTCCAAGATAGGTCGGACGGGCTCACCCTCGCTTTCGTACTGGTGTAAGAGACCCTTCTTCTTCAAAGTCTGGTACCTGGAACTTCAATTAGCAAATACCAAAATAACTAAATTTTGTACTTACAGCTCTAGCTCTTCCTTGCTCAGTAAAGTGTCTTCGTGGAGGTACTCGTCGACCCACGCCGCAGCTTCGTGCTTTGTATCCGCATCCTCGAAACCCAGAAGAATGTTGTCGAGATCTACCTTGAGGCCTCGCTCCTCCACCACATTCAGCAGATGGTGAGCTGCTTGTTCTTCTTCCATACTCCCCACTTCTGATTCGTGTTCTTGCGGTGTGGGTGTTTTGTGGCAGATGCGAAAGCAGTTAGGTCAGCGACATTCGATACGGCGCGCCACACGACCCACTCGCGCAGTCGCGGTTCACGGCACCCTTCGTGCCTTCCCAACGCGCTCGCGACTTGAACTTTGACTCAACACTACGCCCATCCAAACACCCCACTAGACCACGAGAATGCCTCCCACCGCCCTTGAACCCGTGATAACCCCCGAGCCTGCCAAAGAAACGGCCAAAGAAGCCTCCATCCAACCCACCCCACTACCCACCACCGCCATGCCATCCAGCAACCCCACCCACGAAGAACACCAATACCTCTCCCTGATCCGCGACATAATCCAAAATGGCGAGCACCGGCCCGACCGAACCGGCACCGGCACCCTCGCCGTCCCCTTCCCCCCACAAATGAAATTCGCCCTCTCGCGCCCATCCAGCGACCCAACACAACCACCCACGCCCATCCTTCCCCTCCTCACCACAAAACGCGTCTTCCTCCGCGCCGTAATAGGCGAACTCCTCTGGTTCGTCGCGGGCAGCACACACAGCAAATCCCTCTCAGAAGCAGGCATCAAGATCTGGGACGGAAACGGCAGCCGCACCTACCTCGACAGCGTCGGCCTCTCCCACTACGAAGAAGGCGAACTAGGCCCCGTCTACGGTTTCCAATGGCGGCATTTCGGCGCTGAGTACAAGGGACATGCGGAAGACTACACAGGCCAGGGTGTCGACCAACTCGCTGAGATCATCGATAAGCTCAGGAATAAACCGTATGATAGACGGATTATTCTGAGTGCGTGGAATCCGGCGGATATTAAGAAGATGGCGCTGCCGCCTTGTCATATGTTTGCGCAGTTTTATGTTAGTTTTCCGGGACATAAACAGGGGGAGGAGAGACCGAGAGGCGTGTTGCATAGTTTGCTGTATCAGCGGTCTTGCGATATGGGCTTGGGGGTTCCGTTTAATATTGCGAGTTATGCGTTGCTGACGCATATGCTGGCGCATGTGTGCGATTTGACACCAGGGACGTTTACGCATACCATGGGCGATGCGCATGTTTATCTGGACCATGTGGATGCGCTCAAGGTGCAGTTGGAGCGGGAACCAAGAGACTTCCCGGAACTGAAGATTAACAGGGATATTGGGGGCAGTATAGATGGGTGGAAGGCGGAGGAGTTTGAGGTACTGGGGTACAAGCCGCATGCGAGTATTGCGATGAAGATGAGTGTGTAGGATGTATACAATGTGTGATGAATGTAGGAGCATGTCTCCACCACATGCTTTTGCATTGATACTGTGCGTTTGCACGCCTGCCATACTCATTCTAACATGCAGACACGCTTTGAACGCTGCAAACCCAGCGTAAATACATTATACGCACGAAAAGAGGAGCATGATAACCAACCTAACCCTCTCACCTCCAAACTCCCCATCTACCCCCACCACCCCCATTCCCCTACGAAGGCATCTCCTGCGGGTCACTCTTCGGCCCATGATGATGCGCATACTTCACACTAGCCGGCAATTCACTCCTCACAGTATCCGAATCCTGCACATCCACATGCTGTGCATCGACATACTGCGGCGGCACAGCACCATACATGCTCTCTCTGTTATACGGGCTCTTCTCTCCGTTCGCAAGCTTCGTCGCCTTCCTCTTACGCCACCAGAAGGCCGCAAAGCCGATTAGTGCGAGAGCAACGAGGCCGCCGATTACCGGTCCTGCTATCCATGCTTTGCTCGGGGAGGAGGAGTCGTTGTTGTCTTTACTAGCTCCAGATGATGAGGAAGGCGACGAAGAAGGGATTTCCGCGTCGGTAAGTACAGCGTAAGTCGCGCCTGGCTGCTCGCTAATCACACTCGTCGTGTTCTGGAGGTAGCAGTTGTTGAATCCGCCCTTCAACGTCGAGTCGAAGAGAATGGCTTTACATCCCACGTTCTCCTCGGCACAAGCATCCATACACGCCGTAATATTTTGCGAATGCAAACTCGTAATATTAGTCCCCGGGTTCAACCTCCCACAGTGCACTTCAAAGCCCTTTGCATCCGGCGTGCCCGCCGCCGCGGTATACGATTCCCTATCTGGACATTTCGTATCGATCTGATCGATCTGCGTCATAACTGCCGAGTGAAAGAGAATAATTCCCGCGCCTACGTCCAGGCTATCAGTGTATCCAGAATCATCGCCCGTCTTGAGAATGCAGTTGGCGAAACCGATTACCATAGTCGGGTTCCAGGATACAGCTGTGCAGAGCGGTTGCTGATCGACGCATATCTGCATGCATTCATCGAGGGATTCGGCGTGGTAGAACCATTGATAGTTGTCCTCGAGATGTGGATACCCGTCAAAGTCAGCTACGTTTGCTTTGATCATCTGTCCGCAGTGCGTTGTGTATTGCATGCCGTGAACGCCGGGGAGGGTGTTGGTGGAAAGATCCTCGTGCGGACATGTTTCGTCGAAGCCTTCCATTTCGCTCCTCTCGATGAGGGCGGTGTATCGGTGGGGGTTTGGTTCGAGGAGATCGACGGTCGCGCTGCTGTTCTTCATGTAGCATATGTTGTCGGGGTCTACCCAGAGGACGCCGAAACATCCTCCGCCGGGGCCCCAGAACCGTGAGCAGTGTTCTATGCATTCTGCGAAGCTGTCTAGTTGGATGGCTTCGGTTGGCGCGTCTGATGTCTGTTAACTCTGATCCCTCTTGAAGGATATCGCGTGATCTGCTGCTTACCATTATTGCGTATGTTTTGATCACAGTATGTGGTGTAGTTGGCGCCGTTCAGTGTCGTAAATGGGAAGCCGCATCTTGCAGCACTATATTGCCGTGCTTCGAGGGCGCGATTTGGTACATATTCTACTAGACCTGCTCTTGTATCAGTAAGCGTCTTGTTTACTACCACATCATCTCCACACTTGCAAACATACTTGTAGGTGAAGCAAACGTCGTAGTCGCTAGCATCAGAGCTAATGAACTCCACATCCTCACGTCCAGGATATTAGTATACCCCATAGTCGAAGTCCAGTGCTTGTACAACAGTAGGGAACGCGACAACACGAGATCCGGGGATCGTGAGTTTACGATACAAGGCTAATACAAGGTTAAACCAACCTGTACCGATCAGGCACGTTTTGCCAATAGTAAGCCATGGGGCGAAGTACATCGGTTATTGAAATTGCAACTAAGGCCTCCAATACATGGCATCATGATGGGGGCCAGAAAGTCTTCCTGTAAGACAATGCACCTCATGTTAGAGGTGGGATTCCGTTGAATCCTACAGCATGGCTTGAGGGCGCAGTTGCAGGGCGTTTGCAGGGGTTGGGGAGTATGGTCCACTTTAACCAACGAACGCACCAATGGCGGATGGCCTCGTCGGCGAGCTAGAGAAGGCGCACTGCGCCTTGCGGAGAACAACAACTGCGCACAAATGTTGATGTACGAAGTCGGTATATGTGCTTACATGGGATATTCTAGGCATTGCTGTATGTTTTCTGCCCACGTGTAGAACCCTTTAGGAATACGCTCTTCGTGTACTAGCAAAGGAACGTTGCTCTTATCGAACTAGCCTTTTGGTGTCACATGTGCACAGCTTCAAATCCTCGATTATTGCACAACAAAGGTTTGTAGTACAAGATTGACTGTAGAAGTAGTAGCGCTCCGACTCGCTAACAAATTGATACAACGACGGTAAGGCAATAGACTTTGCGGAACGACCGTTGAACTAACTTCCACTGTAGTACGACACCGTAGTTCTGAACGTATCCGTAATCGTCTCCAAAGTGTGAGTATGACAACCTTCCGATACCTCCACACCATCAAATCGATCCTTAATCCAAGCAAGATAGTCATGAACTGTAACCATCGAAGCACCCAAGTGATCGACCTCCGGGTACAAAAGTAGCGAAACACGAGACTCTGGGAAAGCGCTGCAAGTGCGGTTGAAGTCGCTCCTGGTGTTGACTGCATACACCAAAGCATCGGCGTTGCCCTGAACGACAAGCATAGGTCCAGCGAGAGCGTGAGGACCAGCGCCATTATAGCGCCTTTGCCACTCGACAACATCTGGATGCTCGTACCAAGTGACCTTCTTGAACATCTGTGCGCTGGTGAAGTTGCCGTATAATGCGTTTGCAACAAGAATACAGCCTTGATCCAGGAGTGGAAGGAGATCGAGAGCGGCATCTGTAAGGTAGTTTTCAAGACGAAAGGTGTCTGGAAAGAGCAGTGCGAGCGATTGCAGAAGTAAGATGGCGTTGGCACCACCGAACGGCCCTCCATTGGCTCGTCGGATAGACTCAGGGAAGAGGTCAAGAGGACGGAGTGCGGGAGAAGCGGAGACAGAGCCTAGGAGCTTTCCTGCCTTCTGCAGCTCTTCTTGGTCGGGCATCGCAAGCCGCTCGTTGGTTCTCCAAGCTGTCATGCCACCTTCACTGTGGCCGACGACTACGTATTCCTTAGAGAGTAAGTCGCCGAGAACCTTGCGGGCGGCAATTAACCCATATACGGCGTCAGCTGCGTGCAAGAAGCCCGCCTCGTACATGAATCCTTGAGCGATATCTGAACCTTGACCCGAATAGTCGGGCGCAATGACAGCATACCCAGCAAGAGCAAGAGCATACGGGCCCCTCCATTCATAGTGCAAGTCTTTGTTGTTGGAGGGTGCACAGTTCCGAATTCTACCAGCTGTGCCATGGGTCCAGACTATTGTATTCAGTGGCTCGTCCCGGTTCGGCTTGCTGTACGGCAACAGCACGAATCCAGTAGCCGGAATAGGGTTTCGTTCAATGTCTTCGGTCATGTACATGAAGCGCGCAAGAGACATGCCGGTTGGCGCTGTGAATTTTGTGTTGCTGTCGTTGCGTGAGACTTGTTGCCATCGCAGCAGGGCGCCTGGCTTTGCTCCAGTGGTGTTGATCGGGGTGGTGTAGAATTCGTCTTGCGTTACGTTCTTCGACACCCACCCTGAGGACTCGCGGAGGAGGGCTCCTTTGAATGCCGTCTGGCAAGCGGAGTCGCATGACTCTTGTGCGCGGCTGGTTCCAAGGAGGAAAGCTATGAGATGGGTGAAAGAAAGTCTCATTTTGAAGAATGGATAAGTGGAAGGAATGACTTTGCTGATGCCCAGGTGGCATTGGAGGCTACATCATGGCCCTATATAACATTTCAATTGACACAGCATCGATATCGACTCGAAATGTGCCGACCATACTGAGGTCAGGTGCAAGTATGCACTAGACACAAAGTGCCGGCGGTACTTCTCGTTTGATCTAGTGGTATGCACGCCATTGCGCAAGCAAAGAACAGCCGAGAGACGTACCCGGATAACGTCGTTCTTAGCCTTCTTCCGATGCGGCAAACTGGATCTAAAAGGTCGATGTACGAAGTTAGTGTATGTCTTGCACGCAGTTCGTACATACATAGGAGATTCTACCCTTGCCAGATACCCCATATTTCGGACCAAATGTTTCACTATGCTCTATACGGGTACTCTCTCGACTGATGCGGCTGAAATTTTACGTATCATGTATACCGAGTATACGCAAGTTGATTGCTCAGCCAGGTTCAGACTGTGAAGGCACCGGCTGAAGATCTAATGTGTTTGCGCCTACCTGGGTACGAAACAATGGAGTCTGCCTTTGACTCAGACTGTGGTCTGATCCTGATGCGTGCCTACGACGCAATGGCACTTCTATCCCAGTAACGTGGCGCCCCTGCGCGACTTTGGAAGAAGAGAATTGGCAAGAAACCATCGGCCTTGACCACAAGCGAGCATATACGACGGCCATGAGGTCGCGTAGAGATGTGCAAGCTCTGGAAGAACTCATCTACTACAGAAAGTTTCTCTCAGATAGCGTCGCTGAGAGATCATCAGCACCATGTAACTTAGCGGATCTTCGAGGTCGTAACGACTTTGCTACGACGCGTGTACACAAGAGTACGGTGCATAGATGTGCACCACTGGCTCGGGTGTGCTTCGCGCCGTGACAACGCGTCCTTGCCCACCTAGGTAGCGCCATTAGACGTCGCTCGGAAAGGAGCAAAACTTCCAGCAGTCTTGATTGGTCACGAATACTCCTCTTCATCGAAATCGCCAAAGATCCAATGCTCTTCGAGCCTCGTTCGTTCTTCGTTCGACTCAGCTGCCTCAAGCGCGGCGGCCTTGAGCTTTCGTGCACGCTGTCTAGTCTCTTCGTATTGTTCTAAGGGTACCCAACCCTCCGGGCCGATGCCAACAACATCCCTACAGGTCTGGAGCTGCTCGTCGGCTTCAACCTGCGCAGAATGCAGACGCTCACACTCGGCTACCTCGTTTTCTGTGAAAGAAATCGGGCAAGGAACCTTCGAATCGCCTCTTGCGCTCGATTGTGGGGCAGTAATACTCGACCAGTTCTCCGTTAGATAGATGAGGTCCGCTTTCAGTGTCACATTATCGCCTTCCCAAGGTTCACTCGCGTGATCAAAGAGTTTTCGCCTCACGACGCTGAAGTCGTGGGCTAGGGCGTCGTAATGAACCGAGTTTAGCTGTGCAGTCTTTGCAATATAGTAGTAGTGCAGTTGACGCCGTCGTAGGAGCACGGCCTGCTCGAATTGTTCCCTCTCGCCTAAGTCGTCAAAATTGGGTGGTAATTCGGGCACTTCAAGCGATTCTGAAACGGCGTCACCGTAATTCTGGAGGCTATTTGGGATACCGCACTGCAGGAAAAGCGGGCGTATCGCGCAGTGTTGCCAGTCAAGTAGACTCGTGATCTCAAGTTTATCCGAGACGATTATATTGTTTGGTTGCAGATCGGGATGTCGTAGTGTCGGCCGGGCAAGAACTTCGTTGTCATGCGGAATGAGATAAGGCGCAATTTGTAGGTATTTCTCCAGGCTGTCAAGATGATCCGAGGGTGATTGCTTTTGATAGTTGTAGATCTCTCGCCACATATGTTGGAAGGGGTGAAGCGGACGGCCGAACTTCGTCAGATATGCGATCTCTTTCTTGGCTCCGGCGACGAGTGCCGCTGCTGGTTCTGTATCTTCGGAAGTATTAGCTGAGATTGCTGGAAGAGAATGAGGTATTTTGCAGCAGATTATCGATAGGATAGCGGAGCTGACTGAGTGAAGGGAAGAGCTAGCACGTACATGGTCCGCGATGAATCTGGATATCGCCCCGCTTCCCATACCACATGCGGAGCGTTGTATCCGGGCCAATGCAAAAGTCGCCATCGCGGTCAAATTTAGCGATGGGAACATCGACTTTACTGAATCCATCTGGCAGATCCTTAGTGTGATACAGACTGCCGCTTGCCGGAAACTCAAGAGCAAACAGTTTCGACTCCAGCTCTACAAGTTTAGCGACAACAGTAATCCTAGCCCTTTCAGGCAGGTTATACCATACATCACCCAAGTTCGTGCCCCGGATGAACTCCATGAAAATGAATTCGGTACCAGCAGCGTTCTCCGCTGTAGCTGAGTAGCTGTAGATCTTGGGGACAGGTATACCATGTAAACGGAGAAAGTCCATCGTCGCGACTTCGCTGGCTACGACCAGGTGCTTCGGCTCTGTAACCGGATAAGGGATGCGTCCAATAAACTGGAAGCCGTCACGCATCGTGATCAGAAAGGTTCGGTTGAAACCCCCTTCAGCTAGTTTTTCGAAGGAAGTCACGTCTTCTACGTTTTGATTGACAGCTGCGGCCGCCAAGCGCTTGAACTCCGATACATCGAAGTCACGTCTTCGTTCCGAGTGCTTCGAGGCATCATTCCAACTTCAGTCCATAGTCAATATGAGCAATGGCTTTGATAGAAGGGTTTGACAAACATCCATCGCCCTGATGTGTATTCAAATAGCTTAGCGGACTCGTCCGTTGAGTAGGAAGCCAGAGAACGAGCCGGATTTGAGCAGAAACTTCCAGCGCTTGGGATTTGTACGGTCTGTGGGAAAAGACGACAGAAGCCACCTGTGATAAGGCGATCACTTGTGTTCCGATAGAACGCCATAAGACAATCGCGCAGTGGAATGGCATAGCGCGAGGGTAAGGATTCAGTCGCTGCAGCGGATGCGGAGCGACTCAACCGGAACGCTTGGATTACCTAGGTACTCTTGGCATGCACTAACACCGATAGCGCAAAACTCCCAACGAACGGGATCTGGGAGATGGAAAGAGGAGGTTGGTGAGTGATGACTCGACGCGCCCGCACGCGAGACGAGACTGAAGGATTTCGTGGCACGCTCTGAAGGATAGGTAAGCAAAAGGCCTTGGCAGGGCGTAACAAGGCTGAGCGCTGGGTCATGCTATTTTCGCCCTGCAGGAGTCCACCACCACGAGGGTGCAGCAGGCTTGTGCTGGGCATCACCAACTTCAACGAAATATTGCGCGGTCACTTCGCTCGAGATAGGGTAGTGATGGAAAGAAGTATTGCATTACCACGCTGCTTTCATCGACAGCGAGTTGGTATCTAATGCATCCCAAACGCCAGCCATGATTTTTCCCACCTGCAAACACGCAATGCAAGAACGCATAAGACTCCACGCTTATCTGTGGCTGGTCTTTCCGATACCACGCTTTCCTGCAGTCTAGATAACTGTTAGCAATTGTGCTGAAAGGTAGAAGGTTCGGAAGTAAACTTACCAAATGCTTGATCAAAGAACCAGTCTGGTGCCTGTCGGCCTCACCCTGTCTGGCCATCCTGTTCATCTTCTGCTGCGACAACTTCTGCAGCCTCTCAGCCTTGGAAGCGGCAACCTCATTTGTAACACCATCATTCCTCCTGTTGGTGCTCTGGCTGCGGCCTCGGCTCTTAGCACGCGCAAGCATAGCAGCACCAGGCGTATCGACCTCCATAGCATCGCCACCAGGAGCCTCTGATCTTCCACGAGCCAAGCTGCGGCCTCGCGCCTCTGCCTTTGCAGTTGTACGCTCGACAGCCGCTGAGGGATCGTAGCCGAGACTCTCCAGATGTGTCTCCATCTTTGACATTTGCATGGCCTTCTTGGTCCTGGGAATGACAGCCCTGTTCTTGAGACTCTTGCGCATCTTGGCCTCGTTCCGGATGAGTTGCCTCTTCTCACGGATGAGCTCTGCCTTGTACCTGATGTCCGCTTCCTCTGCGTCTTCAAGGTCGTCGTCGGAATCGTAGAAGCCCTCACCCTCCAGCTTCTCCTCTTCAGCTTCGAGCGCAGCAAGCTTGGCCTCGATGTCAGGGTCGATGAAGTCGTAGACGTTCTGGCCCTTGAAGACCTCAGGAATGCGGTCGTGTTTCCACTCGTCGTTCTCGAGCATGTAGTTCTTGCGGAGATCGATGTTGTACACACCAGCGCCACCGTCTGCCTCTTCCAAATCACGCTCCAGGAGTGGCCTGTCAGGGTCTTCCTTGTCGTACTTCTTCTTGTTGAGTACAGCCTCTGGGATGGAAGTCTCGCGAGTAACGCCGCCCAACGGCTGGGCAACGTGGATACGGCGAAGCAGCTCACCGAGACGGCCAGAAGGCTCGCCGGCGCTGTTGGTACCGGCCTTGAGCTTCTCGGCGTTACGGGCAGCAATCAAGCGATCGCAGACCGAGTTTCGCACAGCCATGACACCCTCAGTCGTGTTGCAAGAGAGCTCGAGCATCTCAACCTCGCCAGACTTGAGCATACCCTGTAGCTGTTCCTGTGTCTCGGGGTCAAGCTGGTTCGGGCGCATGAGATCGATCTTGTTGATGACGATGGAGATCAGCTTGTTGGCGAACAGAGGCTTGATGTTGTTGAACAAAGCGATTTGCGAGGCAACGGAGTAACCGCACTGCTCGCTGAGGTCCATAAAGTAGAGAATGTGGGCGCGGAGATGGGCAATGGCGCAGATAGACTGATGTTCGATGGTGTTCATGTCCTCGAGTGCGTGATCCAAGATACCGGGAGTGTCAACGGCCTGGAACCGGAGCATCTTGTAGTCGAAATGTCCGACGTACAAACTCTTGGTGGTGAAGGCATAGGGCTGTACTTCAACGTCGGCCCTTGAGATGGACTTCAAGAATGAAGACTTGCCGACGTTGGGGAAGCCGGAGATGACGAGTGTGCGGGTGTTAGGGTCGATGGACGGAAGACGACCCAAATGCTGCCTAACCTGCTCAAGGTAGACGAGAGGGTCCTTTAACCTCTTGCAAATGGTGGCCATACGACCCAGCGCGGCCCTCTTCAGCTGCTTGCACTGGAAGAGAGACTGTCCGTACTTGAGAAGACGGACATAGTCGCGCGCAACCGTCTCGATCAGCGACTTTGCGGTCGAAAGCTGACCAAGCGCAATGCGGAAGTGGTCCGCATCGTATAGGGTGTTGAGCAAATCGCGGTGGAACGGGTGGATGTCGGCGAGGCGCGGGAAAGCCTCGATGGTGGTGGAGAGGCGCTCGGTAAAGGTTTCGGAGGTGTACTTGACTTTTCGCGTGTAGAAGGCTCGAATTCTGCTGATCTTGAATCCAGCACGAATCTGTGTCGGCAATCTGGGGTTCAGTCAGCTTTGTCATCTCCTATGCGACATGCATTGCGCCTGCAGAGTCGCAAAGCGCAGGGCGGTAGAGGGAAGGCGCTTTGCGCAATTGTGTCGAGGAAGGCACCTACCTCCTCTGGGTCCTGGAAAGCACGATGTCCAGAAACTCCTGGCTCGTGGGAACAGCGGGGATATCCTTCCACTGGGTCTTCATTTTGGCGACTGCGGGTGTTGATGTCGTGTAGAGCCGTCTGCGCGTTGGAGAGACTTCAGGGCAAAAAAGTTCACGACGCTATCGATACCGGTGGGGAAAATCGTTCGCCTCGCCGCCGCGCTAGTCCCGCATCCATTGCTAGCGTCGTTTGTCCGGGCAGTTGCACCCATCCATCACGCGCCTTACAACACCATGGCTCAACTTCCGGATATGTTTCTCAAGACCACGCAATGAATTCGATCTGCAGAACTCGGCGATCCTATGTATCTAACAGATCCGCACTAATTTGGGAACAACTGACAACTATGAATACATGCATACCTCGGCGCGACTAGTATTGACCGCCGGCCAGTTCCCAGGGCAGTAACATATGGAGCGGCTGATGGCGCGAGCGATACCTTTCGCGTCGGAGTGTCCAGCTTCTCTTTCTTATTCTACCATCTCGATCATGTTTAGATGAATTCATGATGAACACCACGGTGAAAGAGGCTGTCACCCGCTGCCAGTTACCGAGCTGCGCGTGGCTCTCTTCAACTAATTTGACAAACCTCAGTAATGTGCCACCTCTCTTGCCAGATTCAGATCTCTCAGGCATCGGTGTGAGTATTAGGACTCAATGTGTATCACTCCGCCTAACTCCGGTACACAACAGGTCATTCTCGGTTTCTCGATTTCAGCATATCTCACATTACTTCTGCTCATCATCCACTACATCACTGTACACAACGTCCACCAAACAAAGAGCACAGAAAACACCCACATCAATGCAGTCGACCACAGAATCCTCACCTTTATACGCTCACGTATCTTCTCATGGACCCCCAGCCGACGCTTCCAGTACGCTATCGAAAAGTCTGTCCTAATCCTCAGCGACCTGAACCTGGTCACTGGCACCGCGATTCTCATCGCCGGCTACTCGCAACTAAAATGTGGCATCTCTGCGTACCACTGGCAGATGATGGTCTTTATTTCGTGGTTCGCGAGCTTTGCTTTTGTCTCCGCTACGGCCTTCCTCGAAGGTTGCTCCCAGACCAACAAGAGTATGAGACTCGTCAGACTGGTCTTTATGGTTCTCCTTGCTTCTCTTTTGATCACGGCTTTGCTTCCGACGGGGTCGAGGATGTGGCTTAATGAATATCCTGATGATGGGGAAGGGTTCTACCCTAGTCTGAGCGCTATATGTTTCTACAAGGAGCTTGGTATGCGCTCGTTGTTGCGGCGGGGTCCTAAGATTTGGTCTATGATATTCTCTGTGGTTATCGTTGGTGTATCTTTTGTTCGGTGTGGTATACAGCTACTCGATCGAGGCGGAGACGTATCCCGCACATGCCTTCGGACGTTACCTGGAACGAAGCTCAAACAGTTCCTCAGCTTCCTGGAGAGCAAGACATTACCTCCTACAGCCCAGGCCTACATCTGGCACGCACCATACCTACTCTCATACGCCAGCTTCATCATCGCCCGAGCCATCTACGACGTCTCTGAGTCCATGCTACTGGAGATCCTCTGGTTGACATTCGCAATGGCTTGGGGAACCATCAAAGTGTGGGATACACGCGCCGCAGCCTCATGGAACTATGATGGCTACAACTTCACACTCAACCAGAAGGTATCTGAGGAGAACTCCTGGGGGTTCGGTCAGACTTTGCCGTTGATCTTGCTCCTGCTACCACTTCTGTCCATGGCCCAGGCGTACCTTGACGACGATGCAAAAGCTCAAGAGACCATCCGAGCTGACGAGGACATATCCTGCCCGCCTGGAACGGCGGCGACCGAAGAGGCAGAGGATCCGAGTATCGTAGACTCAGACCCATTCGATACTCAGAACTGCAGTCGGCTTGTTAACCTTCCAACATACCCCTACGACAGTTTCTCCTCATACTCCTGGTATCATGACCACCTCATTCTCCTGGTCTCCCAAGTCATCATGGTCGGTACCGTTGCGCTCTTCTTTCTCACGCGCTTAGCAGATATCTTGGGCATCTCTTCAATTCTACGAAGTAGACTCTTCGTCATCTGGATTCTAGCCATCTTACCACTGGCCTCTCTCATCCACTTGGCAACATGGTATCTAGCAGCTCTGATGGTCGGTAGGTGGCCTGACGTAAGACGATGGCTATCCAGAGAGGAGACAAAAAGGAGCAAATTAGTGCGAACAGTGTATTGGACATGCAGATTGGGGACTATAGCAGGCTGCCTACTGTTCACGTTCTTCGTCAGTTTAGAATCGGCTGGACCAAATTCTTTGTTCTCGTATCTGAGATGAACTCAGGTAGCGTTAGATCTAATTTATCTACGAATGTCGATGGCTCTATCGTACGACTCACTCATCCTTGATGATTCAGTCCAGGACCTGATAATGAGCATCCACAGGATTCTTCCCATTAATCGTAAGAACATCCTGAGGGCACGCACTCATCACAACAACCACATCCCGAAGCGCCTCCAAAACCACATAGTCTCCAGCTTTCGTCTTCGGCTCTTCGAAACTAATGCCTCTCTTCGCTCCCTCACCTTCCTGCGTAATGGGAATGTTCATAAACAAATTGAACGGGTCCGGGACTTTGTACCCCATCTTGACTTGCAAGCCTTCAAGAGCTTCCTTATACTCAGCCGTGAGGAACGAAGACGTGCTCAGCGCGTGCAGAGCATCCCAGAAGTTGTCTGTGCAAGACTCATGGTATCCATTCACGCCCAGCTCACTGTACCGCCATCGATCACACGCCGCGACCAAAGTGTCGTGTACGCCTGGACTTGTATCTTCCACCAGCTTGACCATAGGCGCCCTCTTCTGACTGACCATTACATCACCCACTGCCGGCGTCACTTTTATAAGTGTGGCCCGGCAGTGGCACATGGACATGTATTCGGGCGCGCTGGCAGCAGCGTTCGCAGTAGCAGAGTACTTGGACGGGGAGTCGGAGGTCGCGTTTGGGTAGAGTGCTGCTTCGACTTTTGAGGACGCGGTGGAAAGGGTGGAGGAAGGGAGCGCGAGAGCCCAGGTATCGACGACTTGGTTCCCGTACGTGTTTGTTATCTTTATCTTCTGCCCGGCTTTGACGAGGGTGGCTGCTCCGCGGCGGGCGGGGACGGTTTGGAGGGAGGTCATGGTGGGGAGTTGCGGGATGCTGTAGTCTGTAGTCTATGAAAGTTGATATGTGAGTATGCAATAGACCCAAGCTGCTACTTGGGGGCAGGTGAGGCATGCCATCATATGTATATGCATACCCCACTTGTGCTGTCGCGTCAGGTCGTGGGACGGGAAGATAGGGAGATAGGAAGACGACGTCCGAAGCCTATGTCATCCTTCGAGCATAGACTAGCGCAAGAATAGTGAAGGTTTTGTAGTCGCCAACGGCAGCTCAGCTCCGTGTCTACAGTGTAGCGATCGAGTTCAGGCGCGCGGAGTGAGCGCGTAGCACCGAGTAACCATGGTTCTGACCTCGGGAGGCGTCCTAACCACGGATATAGTCTAGGCGAAATCTTCTATAAAAACGTAGGCTTGAGCGCAATATGTGGAGTAGGAGATACCAGGTGAAAGCGAAAGTAGAAATTGAAGTTGCGACATCGAGGTACCACCTGGCACCTGCACCTGCAATCGCGCGTATCACGTGTCAAGAACGCGGCTTCCTGGAAACGACACCCTAGCATTCCCGAGCGCCGCAACCCAAATTATCCCCACCACAGCTCGACTCCTTTACCGCCAACCCGCACCATTCCTACCCACTCCCACCATGGCTGCCCTCGCCACCAAGACCGAGTCGCAGAACATCTTTACCAAATTGAAGTCGAAGCCCGCGAACAAGGTACGTCTTGCAACTAGACAGGTACTCGGTCAATGCCTAACACATCCCCAGATATGCTTCGACTGCGGCGCAAAGAACCCAACATGGAGTTCCGTACCCTTTGGCATCTACCTGTGCCTCGACTGCTCGTCCAACCATCGTAACATGGGTGTCCACATCTCCTTCGTACGATCCACCAACCTCGACAGTACGTTCACCCCGAGTCTCGTGGCTATACAATGCACATACTGATTGAGGGTAGTCTGGCAATGGGATCAATTACGGATCATGAAAGTGGGCGGTAACGAAAGCGCTACCAAGTACTTCCAGTCGCACGGAGGCTCTGCTGCGCTTGCGAGTAAAGACCACAAGGCCAAATACACCAGCAATGCCGCCACCAAGTACAAGGAGGAGCTGACTAGGCGCTGCGCCGCGGACGCCAGGATGTAAGCAGAACTTGTCTTACACGGTAAACTAGGCTAATCAATGTATGCAGATACCCCAACGAGGTCGTCATTACAGATGTACCCGAGGTTGGCACCGACGGCACCAACACGCCAGCCAACGACGAAGACGACTTCTTCTCCTCATGGGACAAGCCCGCTATCAAGCGCCCGTCGAACCCACCCTCGCGTACCGGTACACCCAAGGTTGGAGGATCACCCTTCCTGAAGCCTGGCGCCAACGGCAATGGAACAGACCGTCCCAAGTCGCCACTCGTTGGCGGTGAATCGAGTACACCCGCTGCAAAGCCCGCAGCCGTACGAAAGACAACCGCAGGCGCTGCGCCGAAGAAGAACATTCTGGGTGCCAAAAAGAAGGGTCTCGGAGCGAAGAAAGTGGTTGCCGCAGATGGAGGCCTAGACTTTGAGGAGGCAGAGCGAAAGGCCCGTGAAGAGGCTGAGCGCATTGAGAAGTTGGGCTACGATCCCGAAGCCGAAGCCGCTGAGGCCGCAGCGGCCACCAAGTCGAAAGCCCCCGAAGCATCCGCCATCGTCTCCCCGACCCCCGTATCACCGCCACGAGGTGGTTTCGGCTCCACCTCCAAGACCGAGCGCTCCAGCCAAGATATGGAAAGGTTAGGCATGGGCGTACAACGTCTGGGCTTTGGACAGGTAGGTGCAGCGAAGAAGGCTGCACCGCAGAAGAAGATGGGTGGCTTCGGCAGTGTCGGCAAGCCTGCGCAGGATGACGGCGAGAAGTACGCGCGAGACAAGTTTGGCACACAAAAGGGCATCTCCAGTGACGAATTCTTTGGACGCAACGCATTCGATCCTACTGCCACCGCGCAGGCCAAGGAGAGATTATCAGGTACGCAGCATACGTAAAATCATTTCCGTTGGGTTTACTAATTCGCTATGTAGGATTCGAAGGCGCGAGCGCTATTTCCTCCAACGCATACTTTGGCCGACCCGAAGACGAAGTCGGCGACGAAGACTACGGCGACCTCGAAACCGCCGCCAAGGACTTTGTCCGCAAGTTCGGTCTTACCGCTGGCGACGATCTCGAGAACCTGACGAACATGCTCGGCGAGGGTGCGACGAAACTGCAAGGCGCTGTCCGGAACTACCTCAACTCGTAGGATGACTTTGTGGATGACGTTAGGGCCGACTACGATGGGCGTGCAGCTGTATACTGAACATACTCCTCCGGTGTGTGGAGAGCAGGGCGTACTATTATGTGCAAAGCTTGTCGCAGACGTCGAACAACAGGTGTGGGCGCTTGGTGCATTGCATGGAGCGGGCAGATGAAAGACCATGAAGCGTGGAGTTGGCCGTATATTTCTATTGCGCTGGAGACGTGGGCTTGGGAATGGGTGTTTGGGAGTATAGACAAACGCAACTAAGAGTCCCTTCAATTCAACCTCGTAATCTCATTCCTAGCATTATCCAATGTGTAACTCTGAACGCCAGGCATAAATACACAAACAGTGAACTAGATAGATAGCGCTCCAGATCCAAATCCAACACCAACATCTCCATCTACCCCCTCCTTGTATATCCAATCAATCCTCCCTATCCCCCCAAACATCAGCCTCCTCCCTCGCCACAGCATCCAAATCAATCATCCCCTTCCCCCTGCCACTTCCTCCCTCACCATCATCGTCTTCCTCACTACTACTCTCCTGCCCCCTTGCCTCTTCCCTACTCATAGACCCCCACCCCGCATCTTCATCCTCGTCGTCTTGCGGAAAAGCAGGAGACACAGGGACGAAGTCGTCCATGAGGTTACTCGGGAGACCGGCGGGTGCGGGGCGCGGATGCGAGGATGAGGGTGGGGAGGGGGAGAGGGGCATCATTGCCATTTCGGGGTGGTTGGATAGTGGGGGGGTGGAGGGGCGGTTTGGGGGTGTGGTTGCTGCGTGACGGGAAGAGGATGGTTCGGCTTGGGGAGGTGGGTGTGGAGAATGAGAGACGCGTGGGTTGTTGCTTTCTTTCGATGCTGGTCGGGGGTCTTCTGTTTTCCTCGTCTCCTGCCTTGGTGCAGGCGCTGTTTTCACAGCCGCAGAAGTGTCGACCTGCTGTGTAGGCGGCAGCTTAGCATGATGCTCCTGCTGCTGTTGCTGCGAAAATGGGAAGATGGAGAAGAGGCTTTGACTCAGACTGTGTCTATTAGGTGCGCCTGGTCTTTGTTCTTGTCGCAGTGCTTCTTCTCTGCTTCGAGGCTTGTTGGGTGGTGGGTGCGATGCGGAGTGTGAGTGCGAAGGAGCCTTTCTGTTGGACACTGGACTGGGCGGTTTCGCAATTGTGGCTTCTGGCAAGGAGGCTTCGCACATTTCGCAGGCTGTCAAGGCCGGATCGTTGAGGAAGGTGCAGCGTGGGCATTGCTTTTTGAGGTCGGGTGTCGAAGGACGGTGGGATGGGGAGGGTTCCTGGGGTGGTTGTGCTTGTGGCCGAGGGGGTTGGCGGGGAGGTGCTGGGTCGTTCTGGTTAGGCATCTGGTAGCCTGGGCTGTATCTCTGTGCGGTTCTGGAATTTGGTGGCGCCGTGTCCCGCTGTCGACTGGTAGACGATGTGCCTGCACTCGCTCCAGCATTCGGATTCGGGTCCACTGATATTACGACTTGTACGTCTCGCTTCGTGCCACACTTCATACACTCACACTGCCGTACAACGCTCTTCGTATACGTATCTGTGACCTCGGTCGGTGCATCGAACCTGATCTCAAACTTCCCTGGCTCACCGAAGCCTGGCGTATTTCTGTCGTTCCCTCTCCCTTTAGCATTTGCATAGCCTGCTCCTTTCGCCACGATTGGTATAATAGGATCTACGGCTCCGAATATGAGATGGTCCACAAAGGGAATCAACATCAACCTCCCACTATTCTTGATGTGATGATCGATTTCCGGGCGGAGTTGGAACGAGTCGATAGACTGTAGGACGCGGAAATACTTGTTGAACATGTCGCCGTACCATTGACGTGCTTGCACACCCTGCTGCAACAGATCTTTCGCGATATTCCGTGGTGCAGGACTCGGCCATAATGCGTCGATTAAATGCTTCTCTTTCAGCGCCTTCCTCACCATCAAGTCTAGTCTTGCGCATTCATACAGCCTCTTCTCCAGTCTTTCGTGCAACTCGTACTTTGCGAACCGAATAACCAAGCCTCTTACGAATCCAGCATCGAGGTTCCATTTTCTTGTAAAGTAGTCCAGAGATTCCAAATCTTTTTGCGCCTGCGCGTTTGCGGGTCGGACAACAAGCGGTGAGAGTTCATGGCCCATGGAAATCCATCGTTCGGTTTGTCTTGGGAAAGCAGTTGCTGTAGACCAAAATGAGCGGATGGGGTAGTACTCGGCTTTGAAGTAGTTGTAGATGAAGTCTAGGAAGTCGGCTTCTGTGAGTGGCATCGCTGCGTGGCCGCGAGGAATGTCCATGATGGGTGGTAGTTGTGGGTGGCGAGACGTGTGAATGTCTCAGGCCTGGGAGGCAATCACAAAATTATTCGTGACGGGAGATGAAGAGTTTGGCCGCAGATGTGAAGGTAGTTGAAGCGGATGTGATCTAGCGGCCCGAACTATGCGAAATGTTGCTGCCTGGATGGTGTTGAAGATTACGCGTACAGGAACAACGTGGGAATTAACAAAAGTGACGATGCCTATTTGCAGCTGCGCCACAGCATGTGATGTGTTAGAGAAGCGCTTGGAAGTCCGACTGCTCTGCTTGTTCTTGTGACCGGGTTGCTGGACACGCACGTCATTGTGTGGCGGTGGCTGTGCTCGCACCTTCCGCGTCGGACCTGAGCGCCCTCTTTCCTCGACATTCCAAACTCCACAACAACACAACAACACGCTCGCCCCATATTCGCGATACGCCATCGACGCCCATAAAGATGGGGTGTCAGAGCGCACTCACCTGGCGTCGATATTTTCGTCTCTGGGGAAGAACGGGATACTGCGCAGATGCTTAGTTGGCGGGAACACAGAGATCGGGCTTTCGACGCAACCTGGAAAGGATTACAGAGCATCCTAGCCAGAACATCTACAACTCGATTGCCTTTTCTCATGGAAATACCTCTACCTTATCCGGATCATACCATCTGGAAATAGCCCAGCCTTGTCAGGGTCATATTGAGGTATCCCTTATATGTGCGTGGAGTATTACCTCGGCTTGGTAGACAATCCGAAGGAACTGACCTCTTGAGAGACCCCGAAAAAGCCTCAGGAACGGCACATCTAGAATAAAACTCTCCTTACCTTCACGACACTAACCGTGTTTGAAGGTGGTAGCATGATCGTTCTAGCCCAAGTCTTGCGCAAGGGTCCGTGGAGGTAAGGGTCGAGCAAGGGATTTCCTATCCAAATGCGATCTGGCTGGTCGGTGTGCCGCATCTTACTTTCGAAGCTCTCCGATACGTGGAACCCCTCATCATTTATGTTGGAATCGGTGTTTTGACCCTGATAAGAGGCTGTCGACATTGACGCACATGGCTCGCACGGGGTATACAGCGATCTACCTGGAGATCTCGGCAGCCTGCTGCAAGTGCACCCGCATGCGTGTATCTAGCACACGCCCGATTACTAGACGCCGTTGACTAGTTAGGAGGCTGGCAAATACACTTATACTTGGCTTGGTCCCTCATTGTCACACAATCACATTAACCGTCCCAATCCCGACCTGATCTTCAGCGGTCTGTATGTACAATGTCTACAATGTCTACCACTACAACGGAGAAGGACGAAAAGCCAGAGCGGCTCGATATGTCTGATGGATTGCAGATCGCTCAACCTGAGACATATCCCGAGGCCGTCAACCGCTACTCTGCCAACGGCGATACGAAGCTGCCACAAATCAATGACGATGACGATGGTGGACGGGGTCGTCTGCCGCGGACTAGATCATCACGCCTGCGAGGCTCTCACGATATTCTGTCGTACCGTACTGCATTGGACAGCGATCAGGATCAAGCCCCTCACATTCAGGTCCCGCCTGATATGTGGAAGAAGTTCTTTGCTCACCGACGACGTAAATACTGGTTTACCATCGCCATGTCATTCACCATCGTTGCCGCACTTGTAGGCACCAGTATTGGGGGAGGACTTGTGGTGCAAGAGAAAGCCGACAAGTAAGACATGGTTCCAGTTCTCTGTCATTGTCTAATACTTGAGTAGGAAGGCCGAAGCACTTGCAGCGGAGCAGGCGGCGGCGAGTTCGAGCATGGAGCTGTTCCCAACACCCACATCGGCGAGTCCTTCGGATATTTCAGCGGATGCCCCATCGGATACTCCAACGGATAGCCCGGCGGCTGCAACTGAAGACACGGGCACCTATTATGCCGCGAGGCCGTTTGGCGCCATTCAGTCAATCAACACAACATGTCCATCTACCCTCCTCATCTCGAGTCGACTGGAAGGCAAGAAGTCCGATATCAGTGGACGGTATACCTACAACTGTCTCGACAGCACCAACATCCTCGACACCATCCTCATGAGCTTCACAGCCTACACCCTGGAGCAATGCGTCGACGCGTGCAGTCAATACAGCGCCATGAACGGAAGCAATGCATGTAAAGCCGCCGTGATTAGCTCCGACTTTAGCACAAGGTACGAGACTGAGAATGGCGCGAATTGCTGGCTGAAGAGTGGCAGCGGGGACGCGAGTACGGGGCAGAATGGGTATACAGCGGCGGTGCTGCGGGAGGATTAAGCGCAAAAAGAAGGTGTCATGTCTATCGTTCACCATTGTAAAGATCATTACCGGCGTCTGTATTTATCCACATGATGGAAGGCTTGAGATTTCTTGTTGCAGAATTAGCGATCGTTTGAAGTGATCCCGTCACTACCTGTTCTATACCAATACCAGTCGTTATAGTTTTGTGTTTTAACAGCACCTCATTCAAGGAAGCACACTCGAGTCTACGTGGATGTCAGTTTGCCTATCTTGCATGTCGTCATATCGATATAGGCTGCAGACCTGTTTAGGTTTTCCTTGTATAGGATGTGAGGGTGGGTGGGCTGCTCGTTCACTGTGTTTAGTTCAAAGCCGAGTTACACTTCTAGCAAGTCTCATTCGAGTGTTCTTCCATATTAGAACCTATAGAGTGATATAGACGTGCGATGTCTAAGAGCATATCACCTGATTGTGGTAGAGCAGTGCTCGTGGTAGGGTAGACTCTCTTTAGTCGTACCTGCACGTCACGTGTACTCAACCCAGGCAGTGACCTCACACACCTTCAAGAGCACAAGAGAAGTGTCTTACCATGTTCAAAGGCTATCTAAGTACCCCAATTCGTCTCGGAAGCGTCTCGTAGGTCCGGTCAAAAGATTGAATGAGCAAAAAGATATACCAACCCATCCTCGAACCCATAAAGACGCAAAAAAGAACAAAAGAATTGTTTCCGACACCGGGAATCGAACCCGGGCCTTGCCGGCACTGCGCTGCAACAGCGAGCTTACTCTGCGATGAGAGCGGCAAATCCTAGCCACTAGACCATATCGGAAATTGATGGAAGGCTGTAAAGATACAAGCAATATGACAAAAGAAAAGAAATTTGGCATGTCGACGATGAGGTTTGACCAAACTTCAGTCAGAGGAGTGGGGACGGCGGGAAAGCAGTCTGACAAGCTCATGGAAGATTCTAACATGTGGGTAGTGATGGCGGGGAACTTTTCTGCAGACCCCTGAATACCCCCACTTCGCGAAATCTCTACCAACAAAAGTTTCGGAGGTACTGCGGATTTGCCACGACGTTGTTTGAAGCCACTGTATTCGCCATGCGAGTGTTTGGGGCGATTGAATTGATGCAACACATACGGTAAGCCAGTACGGTGAAGTCTTACCAAGCTACATGTCTTTTGTACATCTTGATATAGATCTTCGACGCGGAAGATGTGCCAACTCTTCGCAACATCGTACGGCATTCTTTTGCATGGAAGCATCCTGGCTGTTGCCTCTCTTGAGATGGCGCACTGGATTCAGAGACCTTGAAATTGTCGATGCGACTACTACTACATTTCATGACAATGGCGAAATCTATTTGGCAGCTGGATCTATCAAATATGTCTACAACGTGATGAGCCCACGTTGCTTTCCACGCGCGTTCTTCCAGGCCCTCGTAAAGTTTTGCCAGCGATGGCGAAGGTCCCATACTTTACCAAAATCGAGGTTGTCGAGAGACTTTCGATGGAAACCTGCTAAACACACGGCGGTTGCTGAGATCCGATTCTTGGTTCGAGAGTACTGCTGCAAATTGGCCTTCTCAAGGAGTCATACCACAGCAGTGGCATCGTGCGGCTCTTCCTACAACGACATCGCGACCACCGCGGTGAGCAAAGAGACTAAACACACTGAAGCCTACGTTGACTCTAGATCATCTACATTGCATGTAATCATATTGATGTAGGCTCTTAGGTGTTTAGTGTATTTCTTCAATAAGGTGGAAAGTCGATCAGTCCACAGGAATCATCCTCGACGATAACGGTCAAGTCTTCATCCATCAAGACGCCCAATACACGACATATTGCTCTCATTGAGCCCACGATCATCTCCGCTGTAGCGCAAACTCCCTAAGTTTGTCCAGCCTTCCTGTCAGATTTGCTTTCGTCAAGAGATACACAACAAGCGGTATCTCATCCCCACCCCAAGCCACGAAACAGGGAAATGCGACGTTTGGTGCGAAACAACCTTCTAGTCTGTCGCGTTCGGATTGTCGTCAGCCCAGAACTGCTCACTCTGGGCGAGACAAGGTTAGCTTCCACTGTTCAGCCAAATTTGAAGTCTGGTACTGCACCCGAGTTCAGTAGTTTGGTTGAACTGCTGAGGGGTAATTTAGAGGCTTATCAGATCGACGAGATCGTCATGCGCGATCCAGATGTCATCTTCTGTGCTGAGTAAACATGTCGCTTGCGTTCTACGTCTCAAGATAGCGGAGCGATAAGTTGGTTGAAATGGTGTTGCACTCGAGTATCTTCGCCACGCACCGAAAAAGAGTCGTAAAGCACCAACATCACCATACTCTATATCGTCAAACAGTACGTCGCATTGCCCATACGAGTGACCCAATAAGATATGAACGATCTTTCGGGCGAACCAGGGTCCTGACGATCGACGCCGGACTATGTAGAGAGCTTGGGAGATGGTCGGGTAACGCTCGACGCGACTCCGGCAGGCTCTCGACCCGAGTAAAAGCAAGTGTAGCATACGTACTTGGACGGCAACGTACTTCGGTACTCATCGATGGGACTAGTCAAGATTAGAAGGAGGTGCATGTCGTAGTCTGTCGCTGAGGAAGTGGGGAAATGCAGGTACGAAAAGATAATGCGACGGCCCGATGGAAAACAACAACGTCGCAGTTGGTTGTTTGACTAAACCACGTAACGTCAGCTATGCGTAGCAACCATTCGCCATCTTGATAGATTTCTTTCTGGCCTAGACGTCACTTTCATCTCGCCCTGCTCGAATTTTCAGCTCCGTTGGTTTGGATTGGTGTGGTTTTGCTCGCCGGCCCTGTTTGCCAAAAGGAATGTAGAGAAGCAAAGAGCAGTTTTCATGCAGAACAACTCTAGCTGCAGTAGCAAGTAATAGTCTGCGCCTCGGTGGCGAAGTTCGTAAGGAGTTCGCAGCAGAAGCAATAGCTAGTGGTATGCAGGTTGTTTTGCCGGACGTCTCGATGCGATGACCAGGCAGGATACGTTGGATACGCGGATAGCAGCCGCCCGCGGAGTGAAATTCTGGTGACGAGTTGGAAAAAGAGAAGCATCTTAGTAGAGTTTGTTAATGTGCAAAAAGATGCAAAAAAACATACAACAGCGGGGATTCGCCAGTGGTCACCCACCTGACTACTAGTCTGCCGTTTACAGGCTTGAGTACCGCTGAGCGAACGGGAAGCGCTATTATCCTGAAACTATGGTCGTATGTGAAAGAAATGGTGTTGTGGCGCTGTCTTGTTGTCGGCGTTGGAGAAGGTTGACAGAAGAAAGTGCAGCGGCTGTTGCCATCGCGCCAGAATGCATTCGAAAACCAGAACTTGCAGTGGTAATAATATTACTACTGTACCTGCGAAATACTTTCCTTGTATAAGACCGCGTGTCGTTACAATGACATGCATGCAACCTACCAGGATCGTTGACATGGGTAGCCGATCAATGTCACCGAAGCTTCCTTCGGATGCGCCCCGTTCCTTCGGCGGGATCCCGAGCACCAGAACCTGGGGTAGGAACATGCTAGTTGCTAGGTCGATGACGACAAATCGGGTGTTTTGGAAGGGAGCCATGTGCAGTGAAGGACGTTTCGCAAGACGCAACGCTGTCGGCTGGTGGCGTGGACAGTGGCGTCGGGAACCTTCGCTTTAGCCGTGAGGGAGAAATCCGCTCGTGTAATATGAGGTGCTGTATGGCTGCAGGTGTCGCTGCACTAGCAGTGTCGTGTAAACGCTTCCGTTACGGCGGAGGTGTACCTGCGCAAGCTACAACCCTGAGATGGTTCACGGTATCCTGTGGCTGCGCCTGAGGACAGCGGTGAGCGAGGACATACTGTGCTTTAGCAAGCTTGATATATCAGCCGTTGCTACTTTACTGCCATGTCATTGTTGATTCTTCCTCTTGAGAAGGTAGCACACAAACAACGACGCGCGCGTACTAACTTCGCGCAGGAACTACCTTGGAACTACCGTCTCTCTAGTGGATATAGGCTGCGGGGTCAGATTGTGCATGGTTGCAGACTACTGGCTTGTTGAGTTGATCTTGTCGTCATATGTAAGGGCACACCTCTGAGATGGCAGAGTACTGAAGCATCAGCAGCACTCCAAGACATAACTGATGCGACTGCGTCGCTTTGAAGAGATGCTCAGATTGCAGGCCGCAAACAAAGCCTTGCTGCACTCATCAGCCGCAGTCAATAGCCGTGAGTAACACCCGGCATGGCAGATGTCTAACCGAACATCGAAGGAACCGCTTTAGACGTGGGTGTGCGGGTGAGCATGTCCGCATCACTTCATGCATCTTCTCAATGCGAGTCGTGTATACTTCCCCTAACACGACGTCAGCGCCTCTATCCGATCACGTGCACTTCGCAATAACTTACAGAAGTGACTAGCAAATGTGGGGAGTGCTGTCAATCCCCTTGTCGAAAATGGCAGTCGGGTGAGGGGCGTAGACATGGCATCAGCCCATGTCGAAAATCAAGCTTTGGATCTAGGGTCCAGGTCGCTAAGGTGAGCCCATTGGAGCAAGGCGCCTCCAGTAGTCGCCGTTCACCTACCACTACACGCCCAATGCTGTTCCGTTTCTCGTGGCAGCCACAGCAGAGAACTCTTTCGACCCCTGCATCTCGATTGCAATTGCAAACTGTGCTTCCGTCGGATCGTCACCGGTGTAGTAATCCACGAATGGCTGTCCGGATCCGGCTAACCACGCCGCAAGCTCAATCGCAGCTCAACCGCATCCCGTTATCTTGGAGAGCCTTGTCTAAAATTGGCTTTATAGTTCGGTCACTTCCGTAAACAGCCATGATCGGGATATACCGATGACTCGGTAAGGTTGCTTTTGCAGCCAGAATGTGAGGTGCAGCATCTCGGGTCCAGCGCCTTGGTAACCTGGGCTCAACCCCTGTTTGTAGGGTCTTGACAATGACGCCCAAGGTCACTGTACTTGGACGTCTTCCTTTTCATCTGATCCTTTAATAACCGGGAAGAGTACCCGCAGCTGTCG